CCGAACTATTCTTCGAATACATAGCAAACATATTTCACCCTCATCTGATTGCTAAAGGCGTACAATTCCCCGTTTATATTTTTTAGATGGACATAAAACTCATCTTACTTATAATGTAAGTAAGCTGTGCAAAGAGTTGGGCATCGAAGTAATAGCATTGTATCCTAATGCTACTAGAATCCTGCAACCGGCCGACGTAGCTGTATTCAGGCCAGTAAAGGCTGCTTGGAAAGATGCTGTAAAGTTATGGCATTTAGAAAACAACGGCGAACCAATTACAAAAGTTAATTTTGCATGTGTTTTGGAACTAGCATTAAAAAAGTCTATAAAACCAGACACTCTGATTAATGGTTTTCGTTGTTGTGGTTTAGTGCCATTCGATCCTAACGCGGTTGACTATTCCAAGTGCCTCGGTGGAATAAACAATAATAATAATTCAGGTACAGACGTTCTGCCAGTTCAACGACAACCTGAAACAAGTTCTTCGAGTGTTATTACTTTGGCAAAATTTAGAGAGCTGGTTGGACCATCTATAATGTCAAAATTGTATGCTTATGGTAATAACCCTGAAGATGATGAAAACTTGAATATTTTGTACCGTCTCTATTCAGTATTTGACGTCCACTCCTTTAAGTCACCATCTGTACAAAATGTTTCAACTAGCCGTGAAAACGATATACCTTTAGCGTATAAAGAGCCGCCTTTGACTATTCAGACCAACGAAGAAATAGCAATGAATGATGAAAGTCGATGTGATGAATATATGACGCTGGAGCAATTATATGGTGGACATAAAATGTACGAAGTAAATGCCTTACAGCCTATTCTTTCCAATAAAGATAGTTTGAATGAAGATCTACTTATTCCCGATGTTGTTCCTGAAAGTTTAGAAAACATGACTCCAGCCAAACAAGTTGTTGGCTATAATAATATTTCTGTAAGCTCAGCACAAGCGAATGTTCAGCAACCTGCATGTGAGACTAGCCCTGCTTTTAAAATAGTCTCTAACAGTCTATTGGGAAATTATTTAACTTTGCCAAAAACGCCTGAAAGGAAAGGTAAAAGAAACACCGTGAGAATGCCATTTGCAATATCGTCTGTCAAATATAGAACAATGTTTAAAGAACAAATAACAAAAAAAGAATTAGAAACAAAAGCAAAAGAAGAGAAAAGGAAGAAAAAGGAACAAACTAAACTACAGAAAGAAAAGGAAAAGGTTGAGAAAACAAAACAGAATATTAACAAAAAATCGGAGGCCGCTTCAACAAATGCGTGCAAGGTATGTTATAAATCGACTAAAACGTCAAATAGAGTGGAATGTAATATGTGTTCGACGATATTCCACGTAAAATGTGTACCAACTAAGCATCAACAGCATGTTCCCGAAGATATAGGAATAGATCTTTTTGTATGCCATGTTTGCTATAAAGAAGATAATACCGACGACACTTTTGATCGCAGCTCTGAAAAGAATAGCGAAGATAGTGATGATGATGCACAAATATTATATGATATGATTATTGAACAAAAGAAAAAGAAAACTTAGTAGAACTACTGATTCAGAAGACATACATAAGCATTGTTTTATTTTGAAATAAATTATAATTAATTTCATTTTATTTTGTGTTTAATGCTTAAAATACATACATAGAGGTACCTAAGATTCGATAAGACTGAATTATATAAGTTTTGTTACCAAATGTGATTAAAGAATTCATCAAAGATATAAAAATAATATGTTCTCTAACTTTCCTAATAAATATAATAAATTACAAACAGATTTTAATTCATTTATTGCCTTGAAAAGCGGATACCTATCATTGATTAATTTGATATTTTTAGAGTTCATTAAAGTGCTGTCCATTGACTAGTTGATGCTGTCCAACAATAAAAATACTGTCCAATGACTATATATTTTGTTACATTTTTTTTTCACAAGTATTTTTTCGCGGATTTGATGTTAAATGCTGTTTTTAAGAATATTTTATGCAAATATACATATTAAACTAATAAAATAACAATAATATTAGCAGTGATCTTTGTAAATCTCTTCATAAACTACTCAAAACCTTCAAATGCTCGTTAATTGTCCAATGACTAGAAGTTTACCCTAATAAGCTAGAGATCTTGAAGAGACAAATCAAACTTAATAGGCTTACGTTCATTGATTAAATAATCAGACATTATCTTGGAGTAAAGTCCTTGTTAAGACAAATCAAATGCGGTTTTATTCATCACAGAGACCCTATGGTCTCTGTTGTATAGATATTGCTAGATAGTTGCGTATAGATCCCATGACTACCTTTCAGCCTCATCATCAGATCAACTGCATTCTACAAGTATATTTTTAGTGCATTGTCATCTAAGTTATAAACACATGCAAAATTTTGGCTAGATAGGGATCTGATTACCGCGGGTCCACTGTTTTAGAACAAAATACCTGGAATAATTCTTCCAAATAAAAAAACAAATGATGACGTCAAAGTAGCGTGATAGCCTATTGTTAATAACTTCCTTTTTTAAGGCCGTTAAAATTAGCTATGTGGTAAACACTATATAAAAAGCTCTAAGTTCTATTATATTTACCATCAAAACTTCCACGGACTATTCCCTAATAAATAAAATAAAATTTCACAGTGGCAACTCTTGTGAAATATTCTTATCCGGTTGTTTATTTAATGAACTTGCAAACGGCCAGACTAGGTCGCTGCGGACACTGACCGCGCTGTTGATGTGATGCATAGCTCTCCCCGGGAAAATATCTCTTGCATTTAGCGTTGTTGATTAAGGACTGGACGACGTAATCATTGCAGGACATACTGTCAGTATAGTAAGTTACTTCGTAATAATAATGAATTTTAGTGATATATAATTCCCTCACCACATGGCGCTACAGTCGCGAGAGGTCCTGCCAAAGTTTGTTTACTCATAATACACAAAGAAACTATTTCATTTAAATATCGAACGAACTAATAAAGCTCTTATTTCATCCCGCTTTTTACACCTATTTTTCTTAGCTCGGTTTTTAAAGTACCTCAAAATAAGCGCAAAATTCGAATAATTGAAAGGAAATGCGCGTAGTTCGCCGACAAAGGATGATGTTTGACATTTTGAAGACCTCACGCTACACTAGCGCCTCTAGTGCCATATTCAAACGCGTAAATCACCCATTGTAATTTCACAGAAATAGTTAAATTTAATGTCACAATTAAGAATTTTAACGTTAGATTGGATGGAATTAAGTGACTAAAAGAGTATCTATATTTATAAGTTTTTTAGAGTTTGCTTTGTATATTTAAGTCGTAGGCAAAGAAATTCCTTTTGTATTGCCTACAGACTAACTTAATTCCTTATATTATACTACCTTAATGTAAAATTGGTATTAACAATGAAATAATTAGATTTTCTACTCTAATAGAGTATGTTAATATTTTTTTTTAGATAATAAGAGTTTGGTAAGTTTTTAAGCGGGTTTCAAATAGGTCTTGGTTTTGAAAAAAAAAAAACATTTTGGCTAACTTATGTTTATTAATCGCTTTCTGTATTTAGTTTTTTAGAATATCACTTCCAATATTGAATTGTAACAGCAATTAGGAAGGCAATGACTCTCATAATACAGTTCAAACTAGCATGGGAGACTGGGCACAAAGAATATTAATTATACTGTTATTGGAAATAACGTTATTATTATTAATACACAATTATTAATAAAGGTACAGTGGACAGTATGTCAGATTATGTAAAAACAAAGTCTCTACTTGATTTTAACACTAAATACATTTAAGGTAGAGTTTAAAGTCATCTATGGTTTGACATTTTGTGGTAATTTGACGCGCTGCTGTTTGTACCGTCTTCAAAGACGTTGGGAGCTATTTGCATTGGACAATGAACTGCTGAGTTCAATAATACTTACCGTCGGTGCAACCCATTACTCATTCATTGCTATACCAGCGAATTACTTTTTAGGTTTGATTCGAGTTTTGCAATGAATGCATTATACAATAATAATCTAATATGCATGCAGTTTGACGACAATAATAAGAGACGCCTATAATTGATTATGAATAAAATATAACTAAACATACAATATGAAATGTTGAACGAGGAACTCGGTGGCGCAGTGGTTAGCGCATTCGATCTGCAATACGGTTGCTAAGCAACTTTCATAGGGGCTGGTCTTAGGACGGGAGACCATAAAACTATTATTTCCAGCTTCGCCATACTTTGGTAGACATGTTAACTGTACATGCTGAATGGAGACTTTTAAATAATTTGATGGAGAACTTGAAATAAGTTGATTTGACTGATTCCGGAATCGGTCAAATCAAGAATCTACTTGAAATCGGCCTCAATAGTTTCTAAAGCTCTATTACGCACAAAACATCCTGTCCATTATTGTCTCATTATTACAATGAGCTAGTTTATTTCATCTTATTTCTTTCTATTTATAAGCACAGTTTGTCTGTGCGACTTCTGCAGAGTGATTCGAAAGTGTATTTCGAAATGACATAGCAATAGAATATTTGAGACACGTATAAGCAATCATTTATGTTTCATATTTTTATACAAAACAATGGAATCAACTGAATTTCTTCACTAAACGATTTGAATTCGGATACCTGACTGAATTCGAATTCGGGTTTGAATTTTTACAGAATCACGAGGCTGATCCGAGATCGATATCTTAATAATCGGCAGAGAATTTTTGATGCTTTCTGCATTCACAAGTAAAAATCTAAATAAATTTTGATTTTTTACTGGCGCTTGGGTTGAAATATTATGTAATGGGTTGAATTATTAATATTATATAATTAAAACGATGTTTTCAAGTCGGAGAAAAACACAATAAATATAACGTTTGACAGCATAACACACATCACATTCCAAGAAGAGTAGCTAAATCCCTCGTATTACAACGAAGGCACCACAACGATTACGAGTCATAGAGAAGTTCATTATTAAGTTAGACCGAGAATCGAACACACTGTTTAAGTACGTGCAAACACAAATTAAACACTTAAAATTGATTTAACAATTTAGTTAACTACTTATCTACTTAATCCGTGTAAATCAGCCAATAAAAATGGCAACACTGAATCCGGCATGCGAGCCATTCAGTTACTTAGTCATGTGATATTGTAATTGAATAATTATTATCTCTTCATAAAATGAAATTCAAATAACGAAATAATTTAACTAGAGATTATGCCAGGCTAAAAAAAAATATATTTAATCCGTCAGTCAGAAAAACGAAAAATGTTCGAAGAAGTGACGTCATGCGTAGGGCTGCCAACTTTTTTTGTCAAAACTAACGTATCAACATTTATGTTTAAATAAATAAACAATTCATTTTTAATCAATTTTATCGTTGCTCTATTTCTCTCTTCTCGCCACTTCTGATTAATTAATGAAAAAACTCTCTCAATTAAAGCTGAAGTGGCGGGAATAGAGAATAAATAAGAAATTTTTTTTTTTTTACATTTGGTAAGGAAGCTGTCATCATATGCATTTTGAAGTATATATTGCCATTTGTCAACTGTACTTTTCTCTGATTTTTTTTTTAATTTTCTTTGGATTGCTTTAAGCCATATTAACTCAGAATATAAATTGTCCATCTAAATATTTAATCTGTCTTGCAATTTGGCCCTTGTAATTATCAATTCAAAATGTTCAATGAGTATTGAAAGCTTTCGATAAAATCAATCCATTTTGTCGCTTAATTTAAGCTCATATCAATAAAAATATTTAGAGTGATAGATAACTTTAATTTTTTTTGTAATCTAATTTTTGATTCTTAACCAAATTACTTATCAATTTTATCCTACATATTTTATGTAAATTATATATTTTAAATTTATATTGACAAAAATCTTTCTGACCTGACGAGCACCACGGTGGGATAATATTGTTTTGAGATACATCACTGCTATTAGTGCTTTCACAAGCTCTCTTATATGCACTTCGCGTTATTATAACCATTTAGCCTTATTTTCGATACGAAACACGTTTATAAGCTACCAACATAAATCTTTTCATGTGACCTACTCGATTAATAATTGAATTGAGTAATTTATTGACAAGCTAATTATGAATTATAATTCCATTCCCATTTCCCGCCAAACTATCGAGATTATTTTTTAAGCTTCATGAAGTTTTTGTGAAGGCAAAGGTATTCAATACAAGGAGTATAAAAAAATGTTTTAATGTTTTTCATTTTAGATGTGAAACTATTATTTTATTAATTTACAAAAAAATAATCATGTTTTTTAAAGTACATAATTTCACAATAAAAAGTTAATATGATAGATTATTATTATTAAAAACAGTTGTCTTTATAATAACGTTTTAACTTTCTTTTAATAACATCATAACAAATAATTTGTTAGTCTTTGCTTAAAAACAAAAAAATGATAGTCATAAAATATTTTAAATAACAAGCTTTTATTTAAATGCGTTAAAACGAAAAAAATATTTTTTTTATGTATTCCAATCCCATTTTATTACAGTACGTTTGTCAGTAGCATTTTATTACATTAATTTTTTTTTTCATTTACAGGCATTTAAATAATAGCTTGTTTTTAAAATTATTTTGTTACTATTATTTTATTTTCTTATTTTTAGTTCTCCTTAGTGTTAATTTCCGTTAAAGCATTGATATTGCATGGTCGCATGCCGGTTAATTTGTTACAGTCCAATTCTTTGATTGACAGACCTTTCAACGATTTTACTCTTCTTAATGCTACGTAAGCTTGGCATTTATTTACGCATGTAAAAAGTTACATGTTTATGCTATTCACCTTTGAGAAGATCTATTTAATGGAACCAACTCCAGGCGCAGCATCTTCATCATGGTTGACTTTGATATTGACTGTCATAGTTGAACGCATGTACAACATTGCATGCTTATGCTCTCCACCGATAAGGAGAGCTGTTGAATGGAGCCGTTCATGCATTCATCATCAGAACTGAACGTGTGTACAAAATTCCAACTCCGTAGAAAGAGAGGAAGTGCTCCTAATTTAGTTATAAACGTATACAAACATACTTCCTTCCATACATTGCAAGTTGAATAAAAGCTAGTAAAAATAATTCACCCAAGAAAGTTTTCAATACGCTGAAAAATAGGTATCACATTATTTTTTTATATTATGTTATTATTTTTATAATTTGTTATTTCTAAAAGACAATATAATGTGTAAATTTTTAAAGGTAATAATTATGGTTTCGATCAACTTTACAGTTCAGATAAATTGTTCTAGAAAGGCATTGTTTTGACCCCTACCTTACCGTTAGTTTGAATTATTCAGTGTCGAAATGAATTGTTCCCGCTTATTAAGTCTTAAAATTTGAATTTCATGGCCGAAGTATTAAATGAAATACAAAGTTATGGGCGGTACAGTCTGTGAGCCATGCTCGTAACACTCGCCGTTGTTTTTGTTATTTCGATGGCGAGTGCTCAGGAGCACTTAGCATTGAGCACAGAGGTTCCATCGCGTCCGTCACAATTACCATTTTTAGATCTAATTACGGGTGCGTCAACATATTACAGTGACCCAGTACCTATACGAAAGGCCTATTCGGATCCTTATTACGTTTCTTGTCCCAAATCTGACACGTTGAATTCTGTCGCTAATGTATTGGGTAGCGCTGCCAAGATAATGTTATCAGCTGCCGCAATAGCGTTCTTGAAGTTATTGGGAGGTAAATTACTTTTGTTTCCTTTGCTCCTGGTGTTTTTAAGCAAAATCGGTCTCAAATTATTCCTTCTTTGGCCGATGATATCAAAGATGATGAAATATTTCAAGAAGAAAAAGAAAAAAGGTTTCAAATCCCGAATGATTATGGATTGCTCACAGAGGATCGCTTGTGTCATCCAAAGAGCTTCTAAAGGCTGGGGTAGCAATTTAGGTGCTGCGGCCACATTTACTTTAGTCGACGACGTGGATGAAGATTCATCTTACACAAAAGCTTTGCTAAGCATATTAGCAGGTAATAAGGTCGCGGAATGTATGACACTCGAATGTAGTTCCGGAATCGATATAAGCTGACAATAGAATGCTTAAAATAAGTAGGAATATAGGACGTTGCGAAGTTGCTTCATTTGGAATACAGTTTTGTCATGTTTATTTTTAAAGTGCAAACTTGCGAATTACGGCTCCGATAAATTGAATACTTATTCAAAATTGGAATATGTCACAGTCATTCGTTCGTCATGAGTCCATGGTGCATATCGGTGCTTGTGTTATTATTATCATGCCAATGTGTTTATTGTATTACGGGTGATCCAGTTATGTATCTCCCACCGTTTGAAGTGCGAACTGTGAAATCGGACAGGTTGCCGACGTTTGTCAATAACCAGCAGTTTGTTGGTAGTCAACAATTGCCAACGTCTAAGAAAATACAACAAACTCAACCAATAATGCATACAAATGTGAGTCCTCCCGTATCTAAACCGAAAGTGGAAAAAGAAACTCTGAAGCCGATAGATGCACGTAATTTCACGTTTAACGACCTCCTGGAAGCTTTGAATAACATAGAAGATAAAAAGGCAGGCCGTGAAGTATCCAGGGCATCTGAATACGATTACCAAGAGTATCCAACGTACGACTATCAGCCATCACCGTATGTTTACAATCGACCAAGTCCATACTCGTATGGGTATCAGAAGCCGGCAGCTTACGTTCACCCGACTAGTGTCCACCACGCAGGAACGAAATTATCTTTGAAGTCTGACTTAGGAGACTTTTTCAAACCTCTTGCATCTAAAGTTACAGGAAAAGTGAGCGGTCTAATCGGCTTAGTGCTAGCCTTGCTTACCGGGTCATCTCCGAACGACGTGGAACTTACAGGCTTCAAAGACATTGTGATAAATGGCATAGTTAAGCCTCTCCTGATAGCTAAAGGCGGCATTAAGACATTGATCAGTAAACTGACGATCCCAGTGATAGCTTTATTATTGATAAATTTAGAAGTTTTGGTCACTGTATGGTGGTTATGGGAGGATTGTCCACATAATACTCCGCCGCCGTATACTTACCCTAAACCTTCATACGGTTATAATTCATATAGATGAAAGGTTAATTTAATGTTAATATCTAATGTCAAACCCAGTTTAGAAATGTATATATAGTTGTTTAATGTAAACTAAGACTGAGAATGTGTTGAATAATAAATATTATGTCAAGTAAATTGGTTTTATTTAATTTTCATATATTTTTTATAAATAATTCTATTATTTATCTGTGTTTAGGTGTACCTATTGAATTATCTGCAATGAGGGGAGTATCGTCTACAGGTTTACCGCGTATTACATAAATGCAGTCTTTATATATGTTTGTTATATATTATTATAAAATATGAAAGCACTAAATTGAGTACGCGAAGAAGATATTCAATAAATTACATATTGAAAAAGAAACTAAAGAAATTGGTTTGCAAAATTGTTCACAAATTATTAGCCGGTAATACGTAATTACTTGAAGTTAGGTTTCGTAGTCGGAGCCTCAATTGTTAGTTATGAAATTAAATAAATAATTAAGCATATGAACTATTACTACTGTTATAAACAGGAAAGATTTTATTGTTTGCACAGAATGGTCTCCTAAACTACTGGTCTGATTTTTAAATTCTTTCACATATCGGAAGCTACTTCCTACGCGGGCCATAGAGGCTATAATAAATACGGGTGGGCGAAGTTGCGGGAAAACCGCTAGTAATAAATAAATACTATCTCAGGCACTTGGAACTGATGAATTTTTATACGATACGACCGCCCATAACACCAGTTAAGGGTTAATGTATGTACTCCTTCGCTTGGAGGGTTATGTCTATATAGTATACCCTCCACGTGGGCCCAGTGTCAGATGACTGTAGATGCAGCCGGGTCCAACGGCTTAACGTACCTTCCGAAGCACGGATGAGCAAGTAAGTAAATTTTCCGTCACCCATCCGATGGCATGCCATTGCGAAAGTTGCTTAACAAACTCGATCGCAGTTTGAGTGTATTAACCAGCTTTATTAAGTATCTACCTACGACATTTTTTTCAATTGAGGTAAGATATTTACAATGAAAAATAGATACCAAATAAATAGTTCTCATATTACATTCCTATGTTATGTTTCATAATATATCAGTGAATGCGTTGAATAGTATGTACACTAGTGAAGGGCCTAGAATCCACCTGTGTCCTATTTATTCGTTATCCGAGAATATAGTCCTCTCGCAAGCTGTCATGTATTATTCAACACAGCTTGATCATACGCATCGTCGCGCCTCGACATCAGCTTCCTAGATATGAAAATCGTCTTGTGCCAACTAAGGGGTAAATAGGAAGCTATATCTAACATTTTGTATTACATCTGCGCAAGGTGAAAAGAAAACGACGTGGAATAAGCGAGCCAATCGAACATAAACAAAGAGTGTCGTATGATATTGTTTTAAATGAATTTATTTATTTTTATATATTCCCAATATAATAATTTAATTCATTAAAAGTAATATTAGAATTACGCGAAGAAACTGGTGTAGTTGAATTTTTAATCACAATCAAGTAATAATGAAAGACAATTAAGATAGAAAGACATAGGTATTATTATCTAGTTTTCTGTTTAAGTTTGTATGGAAATTAGTTTGGAAGGGAGCTTTACGTCCCAAATCTTGTTGAATCAGATGAAAAAAAAGTATATTTTTAAGAAATATTATATAAGTTTTTAGTTTTTGACTGGTAGAGAATGGTATTAGCATTACAACGGCTTTTTGCACTATACTTTCATTGATCAAAAAAGTTTAAGACCAAATAAGGAATGAGTCATGCTAGACCATAACGGGTTCTAGCGGAGCATCGGATGTAACACCTTAGTATAACCAGGTAACACTGTTAATACTTTTGAGCGACCATTACTCTGTTGCCACTAAGTATAGGGTGAACTGTATCCCAACATGTTACAAAACTTCTTGGTGTGTCCATAAAAAATTAATCGTATGAATTAATTTATACACCTGAGGGCCTATTCTCTTTATCGAATCGAATCGTTCTTATAATTTTGTGAAAATCGTATTCGTGAAGATTATCTGTGGATCAGAGGCAGTGTCAGGTCCTACCTCCGTTGCATGATAAATTATTTCCAAAATAGATGAAATTACGTTTTATAGAAATGGAATAGGCCTACAGGTTTCATGTTATTTCATAAGAGTAGTATACAAAATTAGTTGATCGTGCCTCTTCACAAACTCGACACGGCCTAGCATGAATCATTCTTAACGCTGAACTGACCTGAGACCGTATTGCGTTTGAAAACGCAAAACTGCATACATTGTTTCTTACGTTTCCAGTTAGTTCATGTCTTCATATTTATAAAAGGCTACTTATGTGTTTCATACTTACATTTTGTTAAGTTTCAGACTTTGGAGCGCTGTCATTGGTGTTTTCAATTCTGTAAACAACTAAAATTATAGAAGTAAACAAGTTTTAGAATAGTATATGTATAAATATGTAGCAAGTCCACTTATATTTTAACGAAATTATAAGTACATGTCAAATTTATAATCTTTTTTGAAGTTAAATTAAAATAATTAATTCAAATAGAAAGAAAACATTTCATTTTGTATTAAGAAGAAAGAACAGTTATAAAAATACCAAAAATAATTTAATGAATCCATTAGCTAAGTCCTTCAATCAATAGGTTCGTATGACCATCGGATCAATGTAGAATATGTATTAACTTTTGTATATTGTCTCAGAAAGTCGATAATACGGGGGCTTTAGCTATACATACTCATCTTGGAATCTGAGCAATGTATATTATGTAGTCTGTATCAATAATACTAATTTCTTATTTATTTATGCTTATATTAATTAACTTTAAATTTTATAAGGTGCATAATTTACAAATATCAGGTAGGTATCATATATCGACGCCGGAAACATGTAGGTAGTAAACATCAAAACCAAAAGTGTTCTTTGGAGTAGAAATACTTTTTATTTTTTCGAAAAGAAAAACTTCTGTATTAATCAACTTAGAGTTATCATATATGCGTGCGAAGAATCATATTGCTTTTATTTTTATTGAACAGAGGCACCCAAATAAAGTAGATAAGGAGACGTTTCAAATGTAATGAGCCATAATGCGTTATTGATAGGGAATCAATAGTAGTCCCTTAAGGACCGCTTCTAACGTACCTCTATCACGCAAAACACATAGAAGAAGCAACTTATATCATACCAAATTAGAACTTATTACAAGGTAATAAGAACTTTTTTAAATCACACGAAGCCACTTTCGTTATAGAATTATGGTATTGATAATGGGTATTGTGAAAGCTATAATATTTATACTTTTGTGTAGGCAATATAGTTAGGCAAATAGATGATGTATTGGGATTTTTAAGATGAACTATAATGAAGAATCTTTATCACAAATAAATAAGTTTGTCTATTACTACCGAATAAAGTTAATGATGTGAAAAAGTACAGGTCGGACATGCACGCACACGTAGGTTTCTTTACCGTTATTTATAGAAACGCAAGAAATCACGTTCGTTGTATGGAAGCCCCCTGAAGCACCCGCATTAACTTCATGGCGCTAGCAACTGCACCGAAATATCGGGAATTCAATAAAAACAAGTGTACATGGTAGCAATCCTGATTTAGCAATAATTTTAATATAAAATACGTTGGCATACCACAAATATTTAAAAACTCAAAAGAACTCTCCTTTTTTGATTTTCTCAATCGGTTCAACTGTTCTGGAGCTTTGTGTTTAGCAACTTAGAAAATCATGATTATTTATTTAGAATATATGTATATTTTAATAATATACATACGAAATTGAGTAAGCAAATTATTAAATGAATATTTGTTTATAAACATTTTCATTAATTCATGTCGTGACATTATGATTTCATCTCGAATAAAAAAATCAATCAAATATGGTTGTACGATGTAATGTTACGTAAATTCAACGACATTATAAATGACAGCGGGGGGCTACTATGAATGTACGAAAATTGTTTATTTTTGAATAAAAAAGATGGCATTTATATAATATATTACAGATTGAGATTGATTTGGTAATGTCATGACTTCTTTTATAAGCAGGGTTGCCACTGATGAGAAAGAAAAAATCTGGACATTTCAACCCGTCATCAGAAGTAATCAGAATTCAGTTCAAATTATTTTATAGAATCAGGCATTATTTTGTGGATGAATAAATAAATGAATGAAATTATTTTGCGGATGTTCATTGCTATACCCTTAAATTATGATATTCTTCCACACACTTGCAAATCTCACAAACCACCACTCTACACGTACTTCACCCCTCCACGTAACATCCTGAGGAGTTGTTAGACCTTACAGTTTCAGGTCTTGTGGAACTGAGCGTGTTGAATTTACTAGACATAGTTTCACGGTTTTAGTTTAAATTGTGACATAAGAAAAAGAAAACTTGATTATTAGGATGTGGAATGCATCGCAACGGGGCGAGGGACAACGTCATTGAAATCGGGACTGTCCCAGAAAATTCGGAACAATTGGCAATCCAGCTTATGAGTTTCTTTTACTCGTTCTTTACTCGTTCAGGGCGAATTTGATTTAATTTGAATACTGATAATTTTGACTTTGATTGCCATCTGCTAAAATGCACTTATCCTCCTAGTAGGTATTACAAATAAGAAAGTATGCGAACCCTCAAAGATCGAAATCGCTCATTGAGCGAAAAAATAGTTCACAACTTGTTGTGATGACAGTAAAGTATACACATAGCGAAATATTAAATATTATGGCTCTTATGGAAATGCTCACGACACGTAGCATCATCCGCGTCGTGGTTGACAGGTTATTCGAACACAACGCGTTGTGGCATAACACGAAATTTGCTATGTGGTTATTCTGCGATTGCCACAACGCGTGTGTACAATTTTTTGACTCCATGAGCGATTTCGATCTTTGAGCATTACACATATAATAACAGACTGATATCTGCGAATAAAAGGATTAATTTCCTATTAATGTTAATTTACGTTGTCATTTGTATATAACTCAATGTTTCTGGGTCACATAGTTGTGAGAAAGA